TCGAAACCGTGGATGTCCCTCCCAATCCATGGACACCCCTTGGAAGCCGTGGATGCCCCTCCCAATCCATGGATGCCCATCCCAATCCATAGACACCCATCCCAATCCATGGACACTGATCCGGAGCCGTGGGTGCTCTCCAGAATTCCCGGGGTATCCGAGGCCTTTCCCGGCCGTTGGGTGGAAGGACTCGGGGTCGGGGTTTGGTTTCACCTTTTCTCTCCTCCCGCGGTTTCTCCCCCTTTTTGCGGCAGCAAAACCCCAAATCCCGGGGCCGGAGATCCCGGGAATTCCGGCTCCCGCCCCGAACCCTTCCCGCGTTCCGGGCTCGGCGCCGGCGCGGCACTAACGGCTCCTCTTTCCCCTTTCTTGGCAGAAATGGCACCGAAGTTGAAGAAAAAAGGGCATTCGGGGCGAGAGCAGAAAAAGGTGAGAGACGCCACGGCCTCGGGGCGGCACCGGGACATTTGGGAACGCCGGGAATGCCAGCGGGAGCGCGGGGTGGGTGCGTTGGCCCCGTTCCCTCGCTCGTCCAAGGCGATGTTGGGTTTCCTGGGAAGGTGTTCCCAGTCCCCCCGGGGTGGTTGGGAAGGTGTTCCTGGGATCTGGGAGGGGTTTGGGGGACCAAAAAGGTCTTTCAGGGACTTGGGAGGAATTCCAGTCACCAGGAGGGTGTTTCGGTGACTTGAGAGGGTGTTTTGGTGACCAAAACGGTCTTTCAGTAACTTGGGAGGAGTTTTGGTCACCAGGAGGGTGTTTTGATGACTTGGGAGGAGTTTTGGTGACCAAAAAGGTGTTTCGGTGACTTGGGAGAAGTTTTGGTGACTGAAAAAGGGATTTTTGAGAACCAAAAGGGCTTTTTGGTGACTGGGGAGGTGTTTTGGGGATCAAAAAAGGTGTTTCGGTGACTTGGGAGGAGTTTTGGTGACCAAAAAGGTCTTTCAGTGACTTGGGAGGCGTTTTGGTGACCAAGAGGGTGTTTCGGTGACTTGGGAGGAATTTTGGTGACCAAAAGGGTGTTTCAGTGACTTGGGGGAGGGTGTTTTGGTGACTGAAAAAGGGATTTTTTGAAAACCAAAAGGGCTTTTTGATGACCCACGAGACCATTTCGATGACCGATAACCCATTTTTGATGACCAACAACCCACTTTTGATGACCCACGAGACCATTTTGATGCCCAATAACCCATTTTTGATGACCCAGGAGAGCCTTTCAATGACCAATAACCCATTTTCGATGACCTACGAGACCATTTCAATGAC